TGGTTGGTGTATTCGTCAGTTAAATGTTAAAATGTCCTTCTTCATCGCAATCTTACAAAAGAGGTTTACATATGTCAACCTCCCGATTTTATTCATCATTCTTTTCCTCATCAACCTCTGAGTTTTATTCATCCTTCTTGTTGAGTTTAATCCAACACGATATAGTAAATATATGTATGAACACTCAGTTTTTACATGGAAACCCGAAAGGGAGAAAACCACGGGACTTTTTAGGCTAATGTCCAAGCCCTCTCTTTCTCATTAGGACTCTCCTCACCATTACATAGTACAATTTGTTTGAAGCTCCCGTTAATGGAGTTCTAATCTAGCTAAGGAGGGAGAAGAAGAAGGGAAAAAAGGGATCCTTTACATGGAGGCTAAGCTCCATATTTATAGGAAATAGGGGGAAAGGGGGCTCTCCACCCTAACGGGCCGCATGGACCGGAATGGGCCCAAATGGCTACAGTGGGCCAGAATGGGCCGAAACGGGCCTAGCTGCTTGGGCTCCGTAACGAATATAATGTCTTCGGCTCCTGAACAGTAATAGGCCGGGATAATATATCCCAACACTTCTTTTCCTCATCACGTGTGTCGACTCAAGAAGGCTCTATATGGTCTCAAACAAGCTCCTCAACTCTGGTTTCACAAGTTTGGTAGTTTTCTTTTGTCTCATGGCTTTTCTCAAAGTAAGTTTGATTCATCCATGTTTGTATTTCATCATCAGTCTTAGGTTCTGTACATTCTTCTCTATGTGAATGATATTTTAATCACTGGCTCGTTCGTGTCTTTTGTCAGCTCTATCATTCATTTTTTCTTGGGTCTTCAGGCTCGTACACCTCTAGGCTTATTTATATCTCAGCAAAAATATCGATCGAATTTATTATGCTGCTTCCACCTTCATACTATCAAGCCTGGTCGTACTCCCTTTCCTTCGCGTATTATTCTTTCTCTTACAGATGGAGAACTTCTCACTGATGCTACTGAATACCGCAATATGGGTGGTGCTTTACAGTATTTGATCATTTCGACTAGACCTGATATTACTTATGATGTACATTTGGTTTCACAATTTATGTATGCACCACGTACTACTCATCTTTTGGTTGTGTAGCGCATTTACATATATTTGAAGGGTAAAATGGATCATGGCTCCAGGAAAATTGTGACATTTCTCTTATTCTTGCCTACTCTAATGCGGATTGGGCGGGCGGCTCGGATAGTAGTCGCTCCACTACTAGTTATGCTATCTTTCTGGGTCTCTATCTAATTTCCTAGTGGTCTAAGAAGCAATCCAAAGTTTCCAAAACCTCTATTGAAGCAAAGTATCGCGCCATAGCTTACACTTGTTGGAAAAATGTGTTGAAATTGCATTAAATGGTCACTTTGGGGAAGTACTTTGAGTGGGGTCCACTTCCAATTTGGGTTAGGTCAAAGTGGTTTTGAATTATGAGGCTTGTTAAGGGCTTCATTTCGATGTGTGGTACACTCAAAAGGGATAACGGGTGAATGAGAAATTGATTCTCGAAGTTCACTCGTTGAAATGAAAAAACTAGGGAAAGGATATGTTTCTAGTGTGGTTTTTCCCACACCGGAAAACCAAGGGATTTTCACCCTCTTTGAAAGAGTTAAGATTCCTAGGTAGAAAGACTCTCTTCACGCGTTGGGGGGGGGGTGTCGACCAAATCCCGAAAATGGAGAAGAAAACCCGCGACTTGCATGCGCGAGCGACCTGCGGACAAGAATGCTGTCCGAAAATCTATCTTACAAAGATACGATTTAATTTTTGTTTCTTTCCGTGACGTTTTTTTTCCAGAATCAGAACTGCTCAGGCAGAACCGCTTCTGCTCCGCATCAAAACTGCTCGGACAGAACCGTTTCTGCTCCGCACCAGAACTGCTCAGGCAGAACCGCTTCTGCTCCGCATCAAAACTGCTCGGACAGAACCGTTTCTGCTCCGCACCAGAACTGCTCAAGCAGAACGCCTCTGCTCCGCATCAGAACTGCTCGGACAAGAAGTCCTCTACTCCGCATCAGAACTGCTTGGAATAGAAGTCTTCTGAAACGTTATAACAGTCAATGCCCAACGTTCTTCTCCTTTAATGCGTCTTTAAATGGACGATTTTTGACATATTAATGCCTAATGTTCTGGTCATTTGTTTCCAACGCTCAGGTCCATTAAAGTTGAGTATGCACACAACAAATTCGTCCCTATACATAGATGATTGGTGATTTGCAACAACACACGAAACTAAACACAGTTTGCATGTATTTCTTCAACTAAAAACACCTCCAATCCCATGAAAAATTCCTTAGTGTTTTACCTTTGTTCTCGTTGCCAGAACAACCGATGGTGTGCTCAAACGGTTGTTCGCAACCACCGTATCCTGGGAATCGATCGTTGCAACGCTCCTAGCACCGGAGGAGGCCGGCAATGAATATGTTTTAAGGAAATTGTGCATTGCACAAGCTTTGGCTATCTATCCCTTCTTGTTTCTATTTTATCTTGGCTATTTTAATTAATTTAATTAATTACTTTCTTTTTTTTCGAATTCACCCAACAACACTGTCCAGGATACTATTTTCATATGTCATGTTCAGCTTTACTGTGATAATTTGTCTGCCTCGTATCTTGCTGTGAATCCCATTCAGCATGATCGTAGCAAACATATAGAGATCGATTATCATTTTGTTAGAGATCATGTTGCTCATGGAGATGTTGTGGTCAAATATGTTCCCACACAGTTACGGTTAGCTGACATTTTTACTAAAAATTTATCTAGGCAGCGTTTTGAATTCTTACATCCCAATCTGCGCGTTGTTTCCTCTGCACAGATTGTGGGGGTGTAATGATCTATAGTAGAGAGACATATTTGTAATTTAATTTCCTTTTTCTCTGGTTATTATCTATATCTATATAATATAATAAAGCAAACCCCTGAAGAACTCTTTAGATGAATTGATGACATGTGGCAACATCCTTTGTATGAAACAATGACATGTGGCAACACAATAAATTAAAGAAAAAACTATTCAACTTCCGAAACTCTACTCTTGTGTATTCCAATATTATAGGAAATTTGTGTTATATAAAATTAGGTAAAATTTTAGGTAAAATTTTGCACTCACCAATATTACAAAATCGAAATACTCAAAAATAAAAAATAATTGACAAATTTTAGCCACTGTTAAAACAAAAATATTACTCTCTATTTCTATTCTCATAAACTCTTGGAGATTCAATTCTCCCTTATTCGGAGTTATTATAAATTGTTTCTTATTTCTTTCCAAAATGTGATAATTATTACATCCTTCGTCACGTTAATTTTCTCCGACATTTCCTTTTTTCATTCACTAAATTTGTGTAGCTCTAAATATTTATACGCATGTGTAGTTCTAAATCATTCTTACATTATTATTCCTGCCTTTTCATTTCAACATTAGCTATATAAACTCTTTTTTTAATAGATGCATATGTCTTGATCTTGAGGGGGCAAATGTGATATTACTTATCTATTTATTAATTCACAAGGTCTACCAAATCAATGTCTAAATGTAGATTCATTTTTTTTGTCTCGTATTTATTTATACTTCGCAATTTATGTTCAGGTTGATAAATGGATTAGCACTCCCCAATCTTACCCAACCCGTGGTAGCTTATATTTTTCATAGCTTGGATCATCTAACTGCCTAACGGTCTCAAACGATGAGAATGATCTCAAACGATGCACATTATTTTTAATGGAGGTGCACAATACACTTATATTTAAAATAATTCAGACATTAAATGAACATGAAAAGGTTGTTTGATTTACAAAAATGTGACTTCATTTTTTATTTATGATAGCGCATAATTCTATTTCAAATAATGCACAATTTTCAAATCTAACATTCCTGATCATTCTAATTCTCTTTTACACGTTAAGATGTCTTCTCATTTAAACTCAATCTTATATTTATAATTTACAATCTTCAAATCTAACGTTTCGGTTCATATATATAGAAATAATGCTAGAGTAATTTATTTGAATAATTATTATATATAGAAACAATGGTTCAACTAGGGTTGTAAACTAATAAGCACATTTAAATTATTATTGCATGGGTCAACTCACTTAACTCGCAACCCGTGCAAATTGCACCACGAAACCGGTGAGTTCATCGGATTAAAGAATGACAACTCTTATCCACCGTGAAATGAGATGAAATGGGCAAGCCCTAATATGGATTTTGACTCACTTTGACGGCTCTATCCATATATAGTCGATTGAATTTTCTTATTAACTCCCATTGATGAATTTACATCCAATTTATTTTCCCTACAATTTTAATAAAAACTTTAAGCACATATGTTCCCGTGCGGTGCACGGGTACTCATACTAGTATATACAAATCATAAGAACACCCTATTAGGATGAGCCATTATTTCCACAACTATTGTTGCATAACTACCTTAATTTCTACTCATGTGCTCTCAGTTCTACCTTAATATATTTTTAGCTATTTCCCAAATTAATGTAACTTCTAATACCATTTTAATAAGCGGTCAATTATAATAATTTTTTCTTATTTACACTACAATAAAATTGATTTATAGAGGCATACTAAATTTGCCTCTAAAAATAGTAAATTAGCCTCTAATGCCTTTTGGGGGCAATTTTGTGGTTGCCAACAAATACTCCGTCGCAAAATGATGGTTGCCTCTAAAAACACTCTTTAGAGGCAAAAACGTATACGCCTCTAAAAAGATATATTTAGAAGCAACCATACACATTAGCCTCAAAATGTCATTAGAGGCAACTATTTATGTTGATTCAAAATGTTATTAGAGACAACCATATCCAATGACTCCAGATATTATTAGAGGCACTCTCAATATTGTCTTGAATGCTTTTTAGAGGCAACGATATATTGAAGCATATCAAAACAATAGACGTTTAGTGACGAACATTTCATTTGTCATATATTCTCTTAAACAATGTCAAAATAGTGTAAAGTTTAATACTCCGTATATAAAATTGCAAGAGCAATGCAAAATATCAAAATAATATTTCATTTATTAACAAAATGTAAAAATTACATAAATAATATGTTCAATCAGATCTAGGACGTATATATCCATGTATAAACTCTGAGACAAAACTCACTAGAGTTACTAAAACATTATGACGTAATGAGATAAATCAAACTGCTTCACAAAACATATTAATTTAGAAAAATCTTTCTTCTTCCTCATTGTCCTCATCATCACCTTGCTCTTTATTTTGCTTCTTGCCAACCTAGCATGTTGTAAATTATATATCAGTATTTTTAACAACTTCAAAAGTATTAAGAAATAAATAATATACAAATTAATTAATAGTATGAACATCATGCAATTTAAATTTCTTCATTTTAGGGAAATGCGGGAATAAGTAATTGTTGACAGAAAAAATTGACTTTTGTACTATTGAAAACGTTTTGAGTGGCTCTTGTAACATAGTACCAGTATCCCCACACATCAAGATTTCTCCATCTGCAAGAGATTATTTGTCAAACTATAATTAGCAAGGGGATCATTAGCAAGTTTTTTAATAGGAAGTTAGAATGATAGTAAGTAGTTTCAACCTATGGTAGGTATGTATGAGCACGATTAAAACAAGACTTCAAAGGAAGAATATCTATAACAAATACAGAAATCCAGCTATAATTAGTGAAGATGATCTATGGCATATATATGAACATGCAAATGACATATCGATTTCCCGACAAATGGGTAAAACAAAACATCTGTCTTCTTGGAAGAAGACCGCAAAGCCTCTTATCATAATATTAAAGAACAGCTTGAACACTATATCTGACCCAGTATCATATCTGCTGAAACAAACACTGCTTTCTCCTACCGGAGGACAGAAAATAGATAAAACAGTGGATGGGAGGATCTTCCATGCAAATAACATTAAAAAGTGTACTTATAAGTGGCATACTTTACCCATCTATGCATAACAAGATGAAAAAGCAATATCTTCTACTCCTGCCAAACTCTCTATTCAATTCTCTTGCTTTCTTATTCGTAAACTCAATACAAATCTAATAAAGAAAACACGTAGTTTAATTGACTCAAAATTTATTTAATGAAAATAGTTTTTTGCTCATGTTTTCTTGATAATTTTATTTGTTTATGTTGTGTGTACTTTATATGGAGTATCCAAATTCATCTAATGTTGCACCGAGCTTACATCTATAAGCCAAAATTTTATGGAATATCCACTCAAGTAATCGACATGCCCTTATTCTCTGAAAATATATGCATTTCAATGATATAGAGGAAAGCTTACTTTTAACCTTTGAATACAGGGGCTGAACCCAAATTCTGCGTTATTCTTCATGTCAGGGAGTTAATGATGGAGTAGTTGTAACTAATATGAAATCACAAGTATAAAAAACCAAATACAATAACATCATAAACCATTAATAAAACACACTAGTAGAAAGAAAGAAAGAAAAGAAGATAAAATTCTGGGTATCCTCGTCCCTGTTTTCATATTCAGAACCAAGAATTCGTATAAGGATATACGAGTATATCAAAGACCTAAAATGGAATCAAATGTCAACTAGAATCAGTAAATGAAATAGGCAGAGAGTGAGCTTACCTAGCAGCAGGAGTAGAAATAGGCGGAGGAGAGGGAGACTTGGACAGAACAAAAGGATCAGCAGAGGAGCTTATGGCTTCTTCCTTCCCATTCTCATCCTCTTTAGCTTCACCAGTATGGGCTCTGCCAGCTCCATTTAGTGGAAGGATATCTATAACATTACAATCAATAGTAGTAAATTAAAAAATGGTAACCTCAAACCCATCTGCTGGTGGAGATTTTGGAGTTCATAAATTGGGTGGTACTACACTCGTACATGAAGATTCCAGTGAGCATTCTTCACGGCTGACTAAAGCCATGTCCCCTGGCGATGATGGGATTTTCAGAGCCGCTAATTCAGAGTCCAAAAATGGAGTTCAGAAGCACAAGCCTGGTCATGAGCGTGAAACCTGAGATGAGGCCGTCTTAAAGTTTCGATGATGGTGTGATGCCTTCTTTGGTCGCTCAACTTGAATCGGAGATAAGGTCAATTGTTCCCGTCGTTGAACCTTTGGTCTCTCGTCAGTTGTTTCTCCTTAGTAGGCCTGCTGAGTCGAAAACACGGACGAAATTCCAATTTTCTCTTAAGATTGCCGCCGACACCCTCTTCCAATCAAGATCCCTCCGGCTTCGCATTTCAGAAGCTCTACACGAATCCTCATAGTCACGCTGGTCGAATCTGCCTTGATCTCTTATTGGCCGCCATCAAGAGTGTCGCCCACAGATCGGCGATTCCTCTTGTTGTCGAGTAAAACCGGAGCGCCTCTCATCCTTTCGTCGCCGAGTAAAACCGGTGCGCCTCTCATCCTCTTGTCGTTGAGGTCCGCCAGAGGAATACCCTCTATGGCTTGTAGATAGGTGATTCCTCTTATTTTCTCTGAACACTGCCAGGAGTGATAGATCTAGGGTTAAAAAATTAGCAGCAATGTGAAAACTAAGGTAGCTAAAGGTTGCTGGACTAAATTGAAAGGTCCATAGACGGTAGGTTAACTTAAAACTTAAAAATTCGGGAAATATTTACAGCTAGTTTGGTAAACATATTTTTCGGTTTATAAGATTTATTGGTCATTTTTTGCTACATACGTAATTTTTTATTTCGTGCGCTAAATTGTATAAGAAGAAAAAGAAAAGGTAAGATTGATGTTTTTTTCTGACTGTATTGGCTGAGTTATTATAGTTAGCTATTTTTACATGTATTTCTCTTTATTTTATTAATAGAATATATTTTCAATTTATTTTTTTATAAATCAGCAAAATCCGTTAATTCAGCCAGAATTTCATAGATTTCAGCTGAATCAATCGATTCAGCCGATTTTGATATTACCAAATGGGCTCTTTGTCATGTGAAGTTTCTAGAAAATATTGATTATTAGATGAGAAAAATGTTAAGTTAGTAAAACCAGTCAAACTTTAAAATTCAAGATACTTTAGGGACAATAACAATTGAAGTATCTTTAATTAATTGCACCTTTTAGAATATTAAGATAATTATTTTCCCAAAATTAAGGACTCTCTAATTGGTATGACGATTTGAAGTAGATATTTTAGGGGTAATTATAATTTTGCAACAAACTTTTAGAGGCATCCCTAAAAAGGTTGCTTCAAAAAAAATTAGGGGCGAATATGCTTTTGCAACAAGTTTTTAGAGGCAATCCAAAAAAATTGCTCCGAATAATACCTTTTAGAGTCAAGAAAATTATGGTTGCCTCAAATAATACCTTTTAGAGGCAACCAAGATTGTTTGATGCTAAAAACATGTTTTAGGGGCAAATTGTTTTAAAGTGTTGCCTCTATATGTGATTTTTGTTGTAGTGTTAATTTCTTCACCAATCAAACTTGTAAGTTCTATTTCAAGTGTAGATGAAAATATATGGTATATCCTAATTAACTTCATATCTTGACTCACATGAACATCCAAAATTTTGAAAAGTATATATGTGTATATTACGTACATCATGTACTCATGTATGTATTCATTAATTATACAGAAAATGTAAACATTTCAAAATATATAGAATGTGAGAAGTAGGTAGTGTGTGAGAAGTAAAGTTAAAGGAGGGGTCAAATGTAAAGTTCATTAATAGCCCGTTTGGCAATATTGAAATTGGCTGAATCGGTTGATTCTGCTGAAATTCATGAAGTTTTGGTTGAAATGACTAGGTTGGTTTATTCTATTTATTTATGCAAAAATATATTTAATATATATTTTATTAATATAATAAAGAAAAAATCACATGAAAAAACGTTAAAATTAACTTATATAGTAACTTCTGCCAATTTATTTAGTCAAAAAAGTAATTCAACGTTACTCATTTTGATTATTACACAATTCAACACGCGAAACTAAAAGTTACTTGTTTAATGAAAAAGTTGACTGATAAAATTGATAAACCAAAAAACGGGGTAAACAAGAAGGTTTTCCATTGGATATAGTAAATTAAAGGATTAATAACATACATCTTCCTCTCCAAGTTTGACCAATTTATGAAATGAATATTGACATCATTAAAATTTAGAAACAAATCCGCTAACCAGTACTATAAGATCTTTCATAAATGATCCTTTAACATGTAATAATACAGAAGTAACAAGCTAGAACTACGGACACAGCTCTATCATGGCATATATACGATCCAAGTATATATGTGTGTGACTGTGTGAATTCATAGATTATATTTTAACAAACTAAGATTCACTTATGTGAGATAAAGTAAGAGAAAATTATTCTAAGGTAACAAGATACATTACTATATGATTCAAATAAATACGAGTATTAAATATTGATACAAATTTGATACTAATTACACATGGAGTAGATAAAATCATTTTATAATCAACAAATAATGAATAAAAATTCACCGAGCTGAGTTATACCAGAATTAAATCGTACTAACCTAGTAACATTCTCAAAGTTGGGACTAGAATATACTACTCCATATGTGCATAGATACACTTCACCACCAAATTAAAATCATTCATAAGGTAATAATTTGTCTATACACATAACAAATTAAATGAATGAAATAATGACAAGTAATAATACAGTAATTGTCATTATGAGCATGTTAAGACTTTGGTCCCATAAGATTAACAATTCTCATATAAACCCTAAAGTCAGATGCATTCCTCGAACCAAAATTGAGGAAATTAAAAATAGTATGGCCCTACCACAGCCGCTCTTCTTCTCTGAGTCTCCCCTGCTGACTTGAGGAGGAAGGCAGAACAGAGGAATATTCCGGACAAACATGACCGCCGCCCTGCTGCGGCTGCAACTCTCCTATCATTGATTCAATGTCTTCTCCGCCAATTAGCCAATCATCTTCCCAACTACCAATCGCAGGAGTATTGATTGTCTCCTTGTCAATTGGCGAGTAGCAGCCTGGTTCAAAAATAAGATGGCCGCGGGCGAGAACAGAGGACGGCGAGGAATATTGCGGAGGAAAATTAACAGGACACCCTCCCTGCAGTTGCACCTCTCGGATCACGTCTTCAATAACTTCGTCAGCCAATGGTCCGTCGCTGTTCCAAGCGGTATTCTCGCCCGGATCACAGGACAACGGCGAAGGAAACAGAGGAGCGCCGCCTTGCTGCGACTCTTCACTCACTGGTCCGATTCTATTTTCGCTCTCGTCTGCTGCCTCGAGAATACCCGCTGGGTCGTGCACATATGGTTTTCCGGCGGGAGAGAAAACAACGGCCGCAAATTTGACTCCGGGGAAAAGCTTGCAGAGCTCAGAAGCTTTCTTAAACAGCCCCGTTCTCCTCTTGGAGAAGCAAACATTCCGAGCTCTCGGTGACTCGATCTTTTTTATTGGGATCTTCGACTTTCCCTTCCCCATTCTTTGATTTCTCTCTGTTTTTCTTTTCCTTTCTCTCTGTTTTTGTGTTTGTTGTACGAATCGGCCGCTGATGTAATAACAGAGTATGCATTTATATACGTAACCTAGTAGGGAGTAATAATCCTAGTCCTAGCGGGTAATAACCCTGTTGCGTTTGGGTCAAGTTAGTTTTTCTTTTATTTTTTGAAAAGTTTGAAAATAATAATTCCAACGGTAGAAGACCCCTTATTGATAATTCTAATTATTCATGGGTGGTCCCAACTATAGGGACCATTTTTCAAAAACAGTCTTTAACCTGCTAAAACCTGGTATATTAGGTCAAATTTAAATTTAATTATGCGTAAGTTATAAATAATATAGTCGATCTTCTTTTATTAATCTCAATTATTAACTATCAACTTTAAAAATATATAAAAACATTTTTAAACATGTAAATATAACTATGAAAATTCTACAAATGTACTGAAGTTAATTAAAAATATATTTAGTCATTTTTTATTTATTTTTACTAAATTTCATATTTCTTTCTTTTTTCAATTTATTTTCCTAGTTGTACTGTTAACAAGTTATAATTTTGTATTATTCTTCTTTATTCAAATTTACAATATATTCTGTGTTTTCAAAAAGTGTATTCTGATTAAAAAAATTACCGAGTACGATTTAAATCTTTATTCTAGATTTTTTCATGAAAATCTATTTTATTAAATTTTTATGCAATCTTGATTGTTATTATATTCTCTAAATGACATGATATAGTTTATCATTGTGTTCTGGTGATTCGGGACATAGGATTTGGAGGTTTTGGCTATGTTCATGAAGATGTATTTATATTTTAATTTTAAGTGATACTTTTTTTCTACATGTTTTACTATCTCCATTATATCATTTAAAATTACAATATTAATACATTTTCATCAAAAATAGCCAAAAACTCCAAAACATATGTCCCAAATAACTACAATTGAACGATAAACTATATCTTATAATTTATAGAATATAATAATACTACGTATAAGATAAAGAAAATAGAAAGAAATTACAAATACTAAAATGGATAAAATAGAGAATTTAGATTTTTAGAATTAACATAGCTTAAAAATTAAATAAAATATATTTTCATGAAAAATAGAATAAAGCTTTCAATCACAAAAAATTTAGTCACATCTTACTTTTTGAAAACATAAAATGTAAAATAGAATAAAGGAAAATAATACAAAATCATAACTTGTTAACACAACTGGGAATAATAAATTGGAAAAAAGAAAAAAAGAAATTTTAGTGAAAATAAATAATAAAAAAATGACTAAACCTGTTTTATTACCTTCAGTACATTTGTAGAATTTTCATAATAATTTTACATGTTTAAAAATATTTAATTCGAAAATTTATAAAAATATTTTTATATTTTTGTAAAATTGAGAGATGATAATTCGGATTAATAAAAGAAGATCAACTATAGTTGGAATTATTTATAGCTTATGCATATTTTACATTTAAATTTGACCTGCTATACCAGGTTGTAACAGGTTATGGACTATTTTTTGAAAATGGTCCCTATTATTGGGACCACCCATGAATAATCGATAGTTGAGATTATTAATAGCGAACCGGTAATAGTTGGGATTATTATTTTCAATTTTTTCTTTTTTTGAAGCCTAGTATTCGGATACTTATGAAATTCTAACATATACCGAGTATTTTAAATTAAAAGGGGGAATTATACCTAAATAATACTACCTGCGTCCCGTTAACATTGTCCCATTTTACCATTTCGGTTCGTACCACTAGAATTGTCTCATACCTTATTTGTTAAAGTTTGGGTGACTCAAAATCATTCTTACTTTATCAATTCGATACCAACCACATGAACCAATTTTTATAGATTTGCGTGTCACTCCCTCTTGTCTAATTGTTAGTGGGACGGAGGGAGTACTAAACAAGAGTGAAATTGCAAAATTAGGGGCCTGTTTACTAACAGAGATATTTTCTAGTTTTCCAGAAAACTGGAAAACTGGAAAACAGAAAACAGGAAACGTGTTTACCAAAGAAATTCCTGGAAAACT